GGTCAGGTGACAGAGGCAGGCAGATCTCTGAGTCTGAAGCCAGCCTGGTCTTCAAAGCGAGTTCCAGGACAGCCAGGGCTACCCAGAGAAACCCAGCCTCAAAAAAAATACTAGCCTGACTATAAAATAAGTGCCAAGGTAGGTAGGGATACATAGCAAAACCCTAATGCATTTAGAATTGATATTGTTGGAGCTGTTGTTTCCAGTGAGGACATGTATGAATCCATGCTAGGCCTCTCAAACAGGTGAAATCCAAGTAAGCCCCACTCTTCAGAGCTTGCCAGACAGGGAGAATGAGAGTGAAGAACAGGCTACCTGGTTGAGCAGTGAGCCTCCACACATTCCTGGGGACCCTGTGTGTCTTCAGCCATACAAGGGCAAAGAAGGGAGCTTAGAAACAAAAGGCTAAAGCAGCAAGTGAGACCTAAACACACTGCAGAACTTCAGTTCCCCTAACACTCAGCAGGAGCTGTTCAGTATCAGCTCCTCAGGGTGAGCTCAGCTCAGGCGTCCCTGACCTGTGAACTCCGACGTTTGTCAGACATACGGTGCTCCCTGTGGAGGAATCCGAAGTATTGGTGTCAACCAAACACAGCATATCAAGCTGTAGTAAGACTAAGCGCCTCCCATGTATTAAGGCCAGGCAAGGCGACTCAGTAATGAGGAGTAGCATCCCAAAAGCCAGTAAAAGAGTCGGAGACAGCCCTGTTCCCATTGTTAGGAGTCCCACAAAAGGACCAAGCTACACAACTGTAACATACGTATAGAGTGCCTAGGTCGCTAAATAGAAACGGAGGGGGAGTAGACTGGGGGATGAGAACAGAAGGGAGGGAGGGGGACTGCAGCCAGGATGTAAAATAAGTTTTTTGTTTTATATGAAAAAAATTGAAGCGATGGGGAGAGGTTTAGCTGTCTGGAAGCAATGAAATCGAAGACGTGGCCATTGATGCTGGTTACTGAGACCCCATTGCATTTCAGTGTGAGCTAGAGGGTCAAACCTGTGCTAGGAGAGCAACTGCTTGTCATCAGCCTGGACTTGAGATGTCAAGATTTCCTGGAGGACCCACTTCGAGGCAGGCAGGTCTCAGAGGGAAAAGATAACACTACGCGCACCTGTGGCCTGGGGATAAGCTGAGGAACTGAGCTTTGCTGTAGTGGAAGCTTGGGTTCCAGGGCAGAGGCGCTGTGGCTGGGACAGAAGCAGAACCATGAACTGCACATGATCAAGAGACAGCTGGTACACCAGCGTGCAAATCCTCCTAACAGACCTACGAAGTGAGCACGGCCATTACCTGTTTTATTCCCAGCTGTCTCCAGAGTCCTCCCCTTGGATCCCCGCGTCATGGGAAGAGGAATTTGAGCGAGATCCTCCCCACCCCCGGCCAAAACCCTTAATTGTTCTTGGAGCTGCCGGTATGTGCTGCCGCCTAGTGGCAGCTCTCAGCACC